CTCCCTCTCTCCCTCTCTCCCTCCCTCTCTGGCAAAAACTCCAGACGGGGTTCCAAAGCCTCTGTCCTCTGAAGGCACCCTGGGTAAACACACACACACACACACACACATGCATACACACACATGCACACATATACACACACATACACCCCACACACACACAGACACACACATGCACACACACACATGCACACATCTTTGGGGCTGGGTAGGAGATGTAGCTCAGCTGGTGACTGTTTGTTCAGAACATGCAAAGCCCGGAGTTCCATCCCCAGTGTCACAGAAATGAAATATAGCCCATCACTTGGGAAGTGGAGGCAGGGGGATTACCAGTTCAAAGTCTACTTCATCTATGTATCAAGTTCATAGGTTTGTTTTGGGCTATGTGAGAACTTGCCTCATTCCCTCTCCAATAAAATGACTGAAATAAAAATACTACGTATGGTCTGATTCTATTTCTATGAGATATACAGAATAGATGATTTTGAAAGTTAAAATAGAATATGTATTATGTTTTAATTTGTAATTAATAGGCTGCAATTTGTAATTTAACTTGTAATTAATAATATGTAATAATGCTAATGATATATTAAGGGTCATTGGGATATGTGAAAAGACAGGAACTAACAATGGGTTTCTTTTCACTTTTCTCTCTCTTTCTTTCTTTCTTTCTTTCTTTCTTTCTTTCTTTCTTTCTTTTGAGACAGGGTCTCACTAGTATAGTCCATGTAGAACAGGCTAGCCTCAAACTTCCAGAGGTACAGAAATCCACCACCCTCTGCCTTCTGGGTGCTGGAATAAAAGCACGTGCTGCCATGCCCAGACTTTCTTTTTTATATTTTATTGAAGTTAAATTTATTAAAACAAACAAAAACAAACAAATAACCCCCCAGAAAACCTGGCAGTAGTGGCTCACGCCTTTAATCCCAGCACTTGGGAGGCAGAGGCAGGCAGATCTCTGAGTTCAAGGCCAGCCTGGTCTACAGAGTGAGTTCTAGGATGGGCAGAGCTAGACAGAGAAACCCTGTCTGACTTGGAAAAAAGTCTATTTAACTGATAACATAAAATCTGAACGTTGGCGGGACATACACTTGAAAGTGTCCGGTAAGGCCTCAGGCAGGTTTAGATTTCTCTCTCCTCAAACTTGCACCATTTCTTAAGGTCTTTCCTGTCAAGGTGCTGTTTTTATTTTAAGTCATTTGTATGCCTGTGCGTCTGCCTGTGTGCAGGTGTCTGAGGGAGCCAGGAAAGAGTGCCAGGGCCCCTGGAGCTGGAGTTAGACGCAGTTTGGAGCTCCTGGTGTGAGTGCTGGGAACCAAACCCCAGACCTCTGCACTGGGAGCACTCTTCATTGCTGGGCCATTGCTCCAGATCTCGCCTTCTTTCTTTTTTTCCTTTTAAGTCATTGGTTTTGTGTGTATGTCTGTGTACCACCTGCATGCAGTACCTGTGGATCCCCTGGGACTGGAGATGGTTGTGAATCACCACATGGGTGCTGAGAATTGAACCC